TACTCTTTAAATGCCTGCAGGGGTATGTTTTCCTACTGCTAATTGCTAATCTTATTTTGCACTCTGGTGGCAAATAGCATCTTTGGAATAAGAGTGTAAAACAACAGGAAATCCTCAGTAAATCACAATAGACCTTAACAAATGTAGTGCTTCAGGAAGATAAGTATCCTGAAAAAAATCTTCATTCTTACTTGACACTTCTCTATTTTATTCTTTTTATGGAATGGTCACCACTTAATAAGAAAATATATACAATATTTACTTAAACGGTAAAGTGATCTCAGTGGCATTAATGCAAGCATTATTCTAAAGGATGCTCTATAAAACAAAGCACTTCACCTCAGGATAATGTTACTGGGAGAACTTCAGTCAGCAGAGCTAAATTCAAAAATATTTCTCTTACAAGATCTAACAACTTGAAAATTTATGATCAGATCTGGCAGCTCTTTTTCAGACCTGTTCACTGTACAGAATTCAAATGGTGTGATAACAAAATACATTTTAGCAGAGGTTGTAAAAATTAACTGTAAAATAAAGTGCAGAATATGTCAGCTCTATCTTCAGTAGTTCCACCTATGCATCACCAGGATAAGATGGAAGAGTAGATTCATACTCTCTAGGCATTTCCTTATTATTCTAAATAGGAAACTCCTTTATCCCCTTTAATTCTTACTTTGATCTATCTTCTATGCGATCTATCTTCTATTTGATACAACTATGTCTTTATAATATATAATATATTGTGCTGATATTTTATCTGTTACTATATTGAAAAAATAATACATTCCTAGTAATAAAATTTTAAGCTAGTCAGGAACTGAGGACTGTTTTCCGCTTATTATAGTTTACAGTGAAATTAAAGCACTTTTATAGTCCCTGATCCAAACAAAGGGATCCCAATGACGTCAATAGTTAGTCTGCATGAGAGAGTTGTGCATGAGAGAGCTCCTGCTGCTGCACCCACCTTCACCACACAGCTTGGAGAACCAGTTTAACCAAGCAACGTTGACAGAGCTATGTTAATACTAAAGATGGACTTGATAATACAAAAGATACTTCATTATTTCAGCTAATGAAGTTAAGTTTGAGTCATAAGAGGGGTCATAGAAAGTAAAATCTGAGATAAATTGCTTCAATATCCCTGACAATCTGAGCCAGACCCTACCAGAAGTTAGAGAAGTTCTTGAGCAGAAGCTGGCAACTGTAACTGATGTAAGACATTGGGCCAAGAGGACTACCAGAAACATTTAACATGCCACGTCACTTGCTTTCTCTTCTTTGCTTTTTGATGTTAAACTTGCTGCAGTCAGCACAGCATAAGGACACGGGCAGGGCAGAGTTTGTGAGTAGAGATAAAATCTTTATCAGAAAAAAAAAAAAAAAAAAAGAAAAAGGTATATTTGGAAAAGAAACTCCTTTTTTTGGGAAAAACCTTCAGGAAAAAGTAATTGTGCATTCAAAAGTATACCTACCGTTTCTAATGATGTTAGGTGGTCTTATAAATGGTGTTGTCAATAAAGCTTGCCTTTTCTTACCAAGATATTATGTTTTTTCTTACTAAGATATTAGGAATATGTCTGGTACCAAAGGCCTGAGAACTTTATGCCAGCAGTCATCTCAAGTCTTTGAAGCCTCTTTTTCTTCTTAACAGAATATAAAATCCATCACAAAGCACATGAGCTGAATATATGTTTCAAGACGTGTATATGTACCTAGGTATATAAAAGCACCTTTTGAAATGGTAGCACTTCATTGAGAGAGAGGATCAAAACAAAGGATAGAAAGAGCCAACACAAAGAAAAATGTGAAATCCTCAAAGTTGGCTTGAAACATGCTTGAGTTAATACTCATTTTCAATTCTACATTGCACCAAGCAAAATCTGTTTTGGGGCCAGGTAAAAGTTAGCTAAATATTCATTAGGTTAATGAAAACTTTTCTCCTTAAAAAATCAGCAGACAAGGACTAATTGCAAAGACAGTTGGAGAAAAAGATATACTTAAGGAAAGTGATTTGAAAAGTGCAATATGAAAGATTCAAATTTCCAAAATGTTTTAAATACTATCTGTTTGCTCAGTGGAAAAAGACTGTTAATGATTTCATTACTTAATGGGACTGGAGATAAAGTAGGCAAGTGAGATATCTCGTAGCTCTGTAACCATCACTGATCTCACTCGTCCTTCCATCTTACACCTTTTAGAGGCTTGACACACACATAAGACCCATGAATTTAAAATCATCTTCAGAAATATGTCTATTTTGTTGCTGCTGTGTTTGTTTAATAGTCAGAAATGGCAGCTTCTCAGTAAATCAGGTTGTATGTTGATATAGCAAAAAAATAAAGTACTGGGTTAAAGCAGGTTATAACTTACACCTCTCAAGCTGTGTAGGTTTAGTAAATTTTTTCTGTATGTAATTGCCTGCTATATGGTTACTCCAAGGTTGCAATTAGTCCAATCTGTTATCTTCATCCTATGCTTTTTATTTTACCACCTGGGAATGCTGTTTGGTTAATACATTTTATTTTTTATTCTTTGACTATACTCTGAAGGAAAGACATAAGTAATTCCTCATCAAGAATCTAGTCTCCCTAACTCTCCTTAACAGCCAAGTCAGCAGCTAATGACCTATCATCGCTCCTTTGATGTCAATCCCTTTCTAATTTATATGTGTAAAATTTGTATTTGATCATAGTAATCAAAAAATTCAATGTATTAAGTGTACATAAAGTGCTAAAGATTTATAAAGAAAGAATATCTGCAGGTTAAACTTTGCATTTACTTGTTTGGGGCATAATTTTTAATTATTAAAAATCAATTATATTAAAAATTTGCATGGATATCTATTTTTAGTCTTTAATATGAATGTTTCTCTTTGCACTTTATTTTCTTTTAATAGGCTGTTCATTTTTCTACATACCACATATAGTATGCTATGTTCTACAATGGTATGGTGGAATGTAGAGAATTTTGTTTTGGGGAAATAATAAATTCCTTTGGCTCTGTACAAAAGGCTTTATTCATCCCTCAGGTGCATGATCATTATCTGGGTCTATCTTGGCCTTTCCCTTAATTTAAACAAGAGCCACCTACTGTAAATCACCTTTTTTTCATACAGACACATGTGCAACTTGTAGATGTGCAGCCTCTTACATTAAAAAACATACTAAGATTTCAGTTTCTAAAAAAAAGTTGTGAAAAAAGTTATGAAGTGTTAAGTAATTAATTCATGAATTAAAATTAACACCCATTCCAATATCAGTTTTTCTTTGCTGCCCGGGTGAAATGCAGCCTAATCTGAGAGAAAAGTATGAATCTTATTGCAACTTCTAGTTAAGTTGTTGAAGCTGCTATGCCAGAACATGATGTATGCCAAAGCATCTTACTGAAGCATCATGCATGCTTAAGGGTCATGTAGCATTCATTCTCAGCAGCTAAAGACAGATAATTATACAATGCTTCTTAAAAAGACATCTATTTTGTGCAGGTTGGGAGCTGATCTTCCTTCCACATAAGTTCATTGAATGGTGCCTCTGACTCGGAACCATACTTATGGAAAAACACCAGTAATTAAGCCTCTTACAAAGGGCTTTTTCATGTACAGTGTTTTACTAAAAATCAATACACAGATAAGTGATACTCAAACATGCATACAGGCTGCTGTGTGTCTTTCCTCTCTAGTTCAATCAGTGCATTAACCTGAAAAGTTGTGCTAATATTCAATACACCTTTCTTGCAGCCACAGGGATGTTCCTTTTCCAATCCACTTGTGCATTAGCACCTGCGTGAGTGTCTTTCGGTAGGCCCTTGCACTGCTCTCTGCATTTTTGCTTTCCACACCACACCACTATGGACAGCCACTCTAACTCTCCATCTATCCTTTTGTTCTTGGTATTCAGGGGAGTCTATGCAGCATGCAGTTGAAGTGAAAATAAAAAAATATGTCTCTTCCCTGTTCCTCCTGAGGTAAACACCAACTGACCTGTGACAAAAGGTAGACGTCAGAAGGACAAAATTCTCCGAGCTGAAGTCCATTTGTGCAGTGTGTTAAATACAATTAGGTATCATTGACTTCTCCAGACTTTTCTCAAGGCATTTGTCATTAGCAGCATAGATCTATATTTAATAACTATTTAAGTGTTATTACGATATTTCTTAAGATATAGAAGATAAGAACTGAAGAAAAGTAGATGTACTGAAGAAAATTATTCACAGCATTGCATTAGGAAACCATTTTGTGTTGTCTCATGTAAAGCAATTTATATATAGTGATGTTACAGTGCAAATTACTGTACAGAGCATTACTACATTATTCAGCCTTGCTTAACATCCTAGGCTCAGAATCAGCTTGGCCACAATATCCTGTAAGAGCTAGTGACTTTGAAATGCTACATATGAGACACCTCAGACAGACCTGCCTTTCAGAAAGGTTAAATCTCTGCCATGAGCACACATTTTAGAGGACTGAAACGGACATCCAAACACTGAGACCCAACAGAGTAGCCTTTTAGAAAACTTTGGCCTTCATGAACACTGATGTAATTCAGGATTAATGCCATCGAATTGAAAAGATTACAATAACAAAAGAGCAATATGAGATTGGATTTAGGTCTCCAAAGTCTAAAAATCTTCAATATATATTTAAAGAGAAATAACTTACTCCAGCATTTGGAAAATGGGACCTATTGAAAAGCATGAAACCTCTAAAATGTTATTTGAATGCCAGAAAAGTAATACTTTAAAAAGCCAAGACAAAAATGCCAAGAGGAACAGAAAGGAGTGAGCCAGAAACACTAACATGTTCATTTCCGCCCTGTCCACAAGCTGGGCAAGACATGCAGCTCCACGGGCATCTCTGGGTATTAACTGAGGACAGTCCCTGCCCTCAGTGACACAGATGTCATCTCACAAAATAAAAATATGGATGTAAACTGGACTTAAAATGTGGTTCCTAACTAGAAAAAATACCAACCCAGAAATACGTGCCTTATGACAATACCTACATTTAGCTGTGACTTTATAGCCACCCAGCGGAGGGTCGTGGCCTTCCACAGCATCAAATCCCGCTGACACCAGGACAATCTCTGGATCAAACTCATTGGCAGCTGGCATAATCACAGTCCTGTACAGTGGAAAAAAACAACCTGTTAAAAGACCTATCTTCATGATCTAAATTGCCACAACCTCAAATATCCACAAGACATTTTCTTTTAATTAAACCAGTCTTCATGGCACCTGTGCAAAACCAAACAAAGTCCAAGGCTTCAATTCATTTATTTCTATGGTGACTCTTTTTCCTTTTCTATGATTGAAGAAAAAAAAAAAAAAGCAGGTACATGTGAAAGCCTCTAATATTACACACACATCTGTGCCTGTTTTATCCTGCTGCCTATAAAAAGCTGCCTCTTCCAGGGAAGTGACTAATGGTTTACAGAGAGCACTCAAAGCCTGAGTGGAAACCCGGACTGCTCCAGTTAGTGCGAACTTGGTGTAAATTTGAACTATAAATTTCTTTTGGGAAAATGTTTGCTTTCCAAACTTTTTTTTTTTTTCTTCTTAACATTTTTAAATGTTTGTCGAGGTGGGGGGTGACTCTAGCAAAGGAAAAACATGAAATTCCCTTAATCAAATCCAGACTATGTTGTCAAGCCTTTCCAAGGTCAAGCATAACAGGAATGTGACAACCACAAACTAGTGACAGCAACCCCTGCTGGTGTCAGAAAGATAATTCAGCCCTTCACATTCACAAAGTTTCTACTTTTTTAACCCCTTCCCTGACAAACTTCCATTGGAATATTTTGTCTCCTTGTTTTTGCTCTTCTCCATACTCAAAGCATTAAAGATGTGTTGAAGGAGAAGATAAAACCCTTCATTCTGGACTCACAAATTCTTCTTTCAGGCTGACTTTCCAAAGTGAAGGTATCTGGATGGATTTTACACTAGTGTGACAAACGCTGATCCTGTAATGACTGTGATAATTCAGGGGGACATCACTAATATTAAAAGACAAATACACAGATGAATGTTCTATTCCAAATATATTGACTCAAGGAAATCCCAATTGGTCTATGCTGGTCAGAATCTGAAGATTAATTTTGCACATGTGTAATAAATATTACTTGTCTTAGTTCAATATTTATTAATTTATTATTTTATCAACTTAGGCCAAAGAGATCATGTTTTTGATGAAAGATAGTTTTCTGTAGGGAAAAAAGCATATTCATAATATTTTAACAGCTTTTTAGGTTTTTCTTTAGTTTTTGATCTGTGTTTTATTAACTTTATTTTGTTCTGATTTCCTCAAAGGTCATTTTAATATCAGGAAAGTGTTCCATTTACTTGTTAGTTAGAGAAAAGGAGAATTCAGACTAAGTAAAAAGTTCATGTCAAGGCATACAGCATTTGAATGAATATCATTTTACACCAGAAAAAAAGGATAGAGGAAACTTTATTTTTCTGATGATTTCACTGAAATTGAACCATGAATGTCTGCAGGTAAAGTAATATAATTTGTTAAATACTCCTTTTTTCACATGTCATTAGTAGGCCTCCACTCAAGTATGGATTTCAGAATTGAACATTGCACTTCAAGAAGGACCTAGATCAACTTGAGAGAACAAAAGGAACAAAAAAATTCTTAAAAGTGTGACCTGAGTGGATAAACATATAGAAATATAATTATTTGATTCATATAACATGAGAGTAAATATGATAAAAGTCTACAAATATGTAAGTGGTTATTGCAAGAGGAAATAACCTGTTCTGCATTTCCACTGTGGACATGAAGTAGTTGGCATCAGGAAAGCTGTAGTTCCGACACTGAAAAAAGCTTTCTAATAGTAAGGATAAAAAATAATTTAAATAAAATATATTAAAAAATTGAAGAGTCTCCATCTCTTTGAGTTTTATATAATAGGTAAAACAAATATCCATCAAGCTTGCTGCAGGTTCAAGATGACATGGCCTTGAGGCAGAAGGTCACATAACTTCTTTTCTAGGTCTTTTTCCTATAGTTCCGTGATGGATAACTATATAACACACAAAGTACATTTACAAATAATTACATTAGATACTACAGTGACTGAACATTTTTCCAGGCTAATCTCCACGAAGTTAGGGAACAATATCAGGAATAAAGATCTCCCTTGCAACCACATCTTATCTTTCTTATGTACATACCTTCTGATACTCTAATTATATGTTCATTGTCTGAAGCAACAAATACTTCCCAAACTTCCCCACGTCTGCAACACATGTGGTATGGATCCTGATTAGTGATGAGGACTGTGGCTGATATGCAATCTTGATCTGTCCCCATAGCACCATATATCTTACACTGAAAGAAGGAGGGATCCTATGGAGAACCCTCCCTATCTACAGCCACTTGAGCTTTTGCCCTCCTCCTCTCCATTCACATTTCCTCGAATTCAAGTCAGGCTCTGTTTTTTATTTCTTCATGTCAAATAAAGTGGCAGCACCATGAAGTACAGCATAGACAATGCTCAGGAGTCAGAGGATGGAGGGTGTTCGGTGCAGACAGAAACTCTGGAAACACAAGTTGCTGAGCACTAATAAACCTAAGCAGGCTAACACAGAATGAGATTTTTGAGAGTCTTATAGTTTGGAACATTGGGAAAATCTACCACACTTCTACCACATTTCAAGACCTTGCTCAAAAGCGTAAAGATGTCAGCACATTTTTTTATAACTTGAGCTAAACAATGCATTTGACCCTTAATCTCATTCTTAGAAGCAGCAAAAATTGTTTAGTCACAGTTTATTCAATTTTTTTTTGTCAGATAAATATGTCTGACACGAAAACTGCCAGCCACACTGGGTAACATTAGTAAAATTATTAAACAGTGAAAGTAAGGTCTTTCAACACAAAGCACCAGGAATAGCTATTAACACCAGCTTTAATAGTACTGAACAGGAAATAGTACCACATTCATAAATCTCTACAGAAATGATATATAGGAGTCTCAGCATGTCCATAGTCCTTGTTACAGCAGCCAAGACTATTTGATCTATCAGTAACTATTTGGTCTTTCAAAAAGATGACAGCTGTAAGTCTCGCAGTTGCAGAGAGTACCATATAGACATCCACACCCTACATACAGACATCAGTTCCTACATCTCTAATCCAGTCTTCCTTTACATTGATCAACAGGCATTTAAGGTTGCTGCTCTTCTGAATAACTACCATGAGATCGCTGCTAAGAGAAGAGCAGCTTAATGTCTGAAAAACATCATAGCATTTTGTGTAGGTAGGACCTCTGTAACCTTTGTCTCACCTTGGCAGGAACTCCTTTGTGGCACAAAATGCATGTGTAAATTCCTTCACAAAACTGATAGATACTTTCCTATCTTATAAGTGTTATAAGGAATCATATACATACGTTTTTAAATATGGACTAAATTTCACCAGGACATAAATAAAACCCTTCAGCATTTGCCACCTTTCAGGCTTCAGCACCTTCATTATCCCTGAATAACTGTCTTTAGAAAAATGTTTTGAGGTTGGCAGCTGTAAAAAAAGCCTACACAAAGCACTAGATTTCATCAGTTTTTTTTACCCAAAAGCACCAAAAGCACACTTCTCCCTCATGAACAGTCTTCTATCTCAAGAGACTGAAGACGGTTGGACAGGTAGCTCCTGACTCTTCACTGTCTCTTGGGAATCATCAGACCTTGTATCTTGCTCCTTTCCCATCTCACACATTCTGGAGGGCATAGCAAGGTATAAGAAAGGGAAATTATCCATAACCATAGCACTTCCCTTCTCAATTACCTAAAACTCAATCTTCTGAATCAGATCATAACAGAAATTTTTTTTTTTTTTTTTAAGGCGTACAGCTAGCATTGGTCATACACTAATAGATATTCATGTTAACTCTCCCCAGTTCCTCAGACCAACCCTATACTCACAAGTCAGGCTGCAGCTGGCAGAATTTGTCATGCTGCGAAGGGTCAAAACCCTGCTCATCAGAAATCCTTTGCAAGGCTGCATAGGCAGCCTGCACTGAGACCTAGGTAGGAACAGTTATTATCTTACCCAGAGCAGGAGTCAGAAATATGATTTGGCTTCTGGCCACAGGTTACCAGACAGGTAGGGACTGGGGATTGGCAGGCTGTCAGCTTCCTGGTTGAAGCCAGCTGGGCTGCAGGGTTTATCAGCAATCAGCCGTTAATGCTAGGATCCTTCTCCAACGAAATGAGTAGTTTTTGTCAGAAGAGAAGTGAATTTTATTCTTTCACTATGACTCACACTCTCCTCTACTCCCTTCTCCAAAGAAAATAAAACACATAAAAGAGATATTTATTTTCTGTGATCCTGAATCATACAGAAGCATAAATATTTGGTATACCATATTCACCTAATGATGACAGCAGAGTTACAGGGCCATATTGCCTGTCTGACTGTTTCTTTCTTTTCTCTCCCATTTTCATTAATAAACATGTCAAAGCCTGAAAGCTTGAGCATCTGGATCACAGGAGTTATTTATACATGCTAAACCTTGAAGTGACAATGAAACTGTGTCCTCCAGCTCAAGGTAGTGCAAATTCTCCTTTAAGTCTGATGATACTGGGAACAGAGCATGTGCCTGGGAAGCTGAAAAGATTCGTTTTTGTCCCACTAAGGAGATTTCCCCAAAGTATTAATATGTTCCATTTGGGTATGCTGCTGTTTGCAGAGAAGCCAAGGGATGGTTTCCAGTTGGGTGTAGTCCTAGAGAAAACATCAGGCATGTGATCCTCCCCTCCCCACCAATCTGAACATCAGATGCAAGACATTAAAGAGATTCTACCAAGGGACTTTTGTCCTTTTATTCTTCCATTCTATTTTTGTACATTTAAAGCACATGGTCAGGATGCTCCCAAACATTTGATCTCCCAGAAGAGATTGCAGAGAAGCACCCAACTCAAAGATTACTCTGCAAGTACCATGACACAGAGCTGGAAATCTCTGAAGAAAGTTAAGCTGATGCAAATAGCTACAATTCTTTTGCTGTGTTGGTAATTTGAAAAGGAAACGAGCAGCAATACCAGCCCAGGACAGTAATTTATGTAACCAAGAAAAGAAATCTACACTGTTCTAAAACTGCAGATTGGAATGGCTTA